GCAGATGAAAGCGTCATTTTTCAGCTACTATACTTTTATAATTCAAAGATTTCAGCAAACAGTGGGCAAATGCACGATGCTGTTAAGCAAACATTTGAGGAGCATGCTAAAGAGACCGAGAAATCAGATGAAAAGCTTCTGTCAAATTATGTGGATGAGGTAAGCTGAGGACCTAAGAAGACGAGAAAGACAGTATTTTTTTTCTTCGACGAACAAGAGCGAAAGGCTTTTTAGAACGTCAAGACAAAGAAGTAAAGGAACAGCAAGACAATCCTGAGTACCGTCAAAAGCAATCGCCCCTCGCACAGTTCCATCTGGCAGATAGTTCTGAGCTAGCAGCAGAAAATGCGCTTCTGGCCGGAAAAGGTATTTACTTGTAGTTCACTAAAAACAATGTTCGCGGTGGGGTCGTGAAATCTAACACAAACAAATGAGGGACAGCTCAAAATGGCTGATGTTCCGTCACTTGCTCCTGTCGCGGGAGAATCGCCAAGCTTCTTTTCATGAGACCAGACGAACGTCAGGATCATCAGCAAAAATGTTCAGCAGGTTAAAAAAAGCATAAGAAACTGAAGTTTTGGCAGCTGCTCACTTGAAGAGCTGTAGCATCAGTTAACCGACCCAACTACCCAACCCATAAACGGAGATCCTGCGTAAAGTTTGAAGACTGTTATTAAAACCACAAAACAACATAAGGCAGTACTGCTATTAAAACCATACGGCACTTCGGTTCTGGGACGGTACTTGGCAGGGGGGAGCGTATTGGCAAAATTTTAGTGCCGGAGCTTGCTTGGTTGCCGAGTTGAAATACCCGGAAAGACCCGCACGCGCACACGAACTAACAATCAAGAACAAAAAAACAATCGGAATAAAATCGAAGTCAAATCAATATAAAGTCAAAAAGCCAATAATCTAAGTTGATTACAGAGTAAAAAAAAAAAAAATTCTAAGCATTGACACTACGGTTCAAACGAGCTTATTTTACCTCTTGGATCTGGAGCTTGAATTTTCATTCCCACTTTGAATTTGTTCTCTGGTGGTGCAGGATCCTGATAAAAACAGCTATCCGGTGCTGCATAACCTCCTGTTTCTTTCAGATATGCTGGCCAACAAAAAGCGTTGGAATTTTCTTTTGCCTGGCTGGTCTAAAACATAAAAATTTGAACAATCATGGCAATCGAACTGTTTACTCCGTTATTTTCACCATCATATTCCACTTTATCAGTGAAGCAACTGACAATTTCTCCACTCTTTGCTATTTTGAGTCTGCCAACATCCATAATATTTTATATAGCTGTTCAAGTGAATTCTTCCACCACGTTTTTGGCTTTTCTTATGCTCGTTTTAAACGAGTTTCATTAATAGTCCGCTTCGTTTGTTTTTTTATTTTTTTGTTTTTTTTTATTCACTCTAATTAAAAACAAAAAATTAAAAATAAATTCTGCACTTTTCCCAGCGCTCAATATTTTTCTGTAATAATCATTTACGCCACAGCGGAATCTCAGTGCTTCACTGGAAATGTGCTGCAGCAGCTTGCCAACGTTTCTTGAGTGTTCCATAAATCGTCTATCTACAGCTAACTTCTTAACAAACATGGAATGTTACTGACACTTGTGTTGTACAAGTAATATGCGCCATGTATGTTAAGCATTTAGCCCTAACTAGATGAATTAAACGTTATTCAAGGACACCAATATCGCTCGGGCAACCCCTGAGGAAATCGCATGCCACTAGAATGCTTCAGCAGGCCGTTCGACTTGAAAAAAAAAAATTTCAATGCAAAGTCCGATCTGTGTTTACAGCTAAGGGATGAAACACAGACAGACTGCATCATAAAATGTCTTCTTACACATGGCACTTAAGTTCAGTCCTTCCATTCTACTATTTCAGTATAAATACTGCAAGACAGCCAAGAACACGCAGAAAATTTATGTTGCTACTCCACATTGGTGATATTACAGGAAAGCTCTCACAAGTCTGGCGTAGCCATCAGTGCTGGGCTGCATACTTCCAGTTAGTATCTTTCTATCCACGCCTGTTATCGAACATCAATTTCTACTTTTCCAAAACATCCGAGACTTTTCGTGGATACCGCTCACTGTTACATGTGTTGAATATTCATAAAAATTCCAAAATGACGTACTTGAGGTAACTGCGGTATCTCTTCTCTCGTTTTTTCGCTCTCACTGACAATGTTTTTAGTATCGCCGCCTGGCAAAACATTCTGTTCATCTGTCTCGACAATTTTCTCATCACATTCAGAGAGGTCATTCTGAGCTTCTACACCCTAAAAAAGCCAAAATTACGGCACCAAAAATTAAAATTTATCCCTTCGATTTTGAGTTTTTTAGGTTCAAAATTGAGGGGACAAAAAAGAAAAACGTCAGAATCGCCAGCAGGCTGGTCACAAGACAATACAGCATTTGCGAAAGCAACTGCAAAAACAACCAGGAGCAGAAATGGGAAATCAGTGTTCAAGTTTGATCTAGTCCAAGAAGCCAAGTGTTCCAAACCATCCGTCATGGTGCCTGTGCCCAACAACAAATCACTATTTGAAAATTTTCAGAATTCATCCGAAAATTTCTCAAACTATAAGTTGTAGTGTTACTGAGAAGAAAAATACATACATCAGCCATAGCGCTGTGTCGTTCTTTTCTATTTTGAAGACCTACGTTTACTTGCTTCTCCAGTTGACATCACGTTAGCGTGAATTTCAGACTACTTAAAGGCTGAATTTAAATTTTCTGGGTCGCATATGGCCAGCAAATACCCCGTAGGGTTGTGTGTGTGTGTGTGTGTGTGTGTATGTTCTGCTCTGTCTGTTCCTCGAAACCGCTCCAGCCAAAAAAACTTTCATGTGTCTGTACTCGAGAACTACAGGGAAGTGAATGGTTACCATATATAATGGCGGAATAAGTTGCTGAAATTTCAGCTCCGTGAGACTGGAAATCGGAATACGCGAACAGATTAATGCGTACACATACGAACATATATTTATATACACACATATATGAATACACACACATACACACACACGGGCAATCCCTCCAAAACATACGTTTTTGCATTGCATAGATGCGGGAAAAGCACAAATATTACTACAAATTTTCTGTTTGAATAAGTAATGCGCAGTGCTATCTGAATGACCCGCTGTTTTAATTATTCCTGATAAAATGAGGATTAAATCAAATGCAGAGCTGGGCCAATAAAGGAAGCAGGATCTCTGAAGTTCAAAAAAAGCAAAACTTACAGGTGAGCAGGAAGAGGAGCTGCTCGAAACATCGTCCGAGATCACCAGCCTCGGCTCATCATCATAATCATCAACGTACTTCGAATAAGCCCCTGCATTCATTAGTGTGGATCTCTAAAAATCCCACTGACAATGAGGCAAACCCGTGATTTCCCGCAGAAACTCACTGAGAGTTTGCGAAAGCAAAACGGGCACCAGCTGGATGCGAACGAAGTCTCCTTTCCTGCAGCCCCTCGTCAAAAAAATCTACCTTACTTCCCCCACTTTCCCAACACCACAATTTAATAAAAATTTCCTTTCCTCTTGCACCATTTTTACTAAGGTGACCAATTTCCCTTATCGTTTGCGTTAAAAATCACCGCAGCAGCCTCACCCTCTATAAATAATTAATCATTAGCATGCCCCCTTGCCCCACTCTACCAATTTTTGCCAAAAACGCACCAGCGCCACTAAAATCCGTCAAAAAATAGCCCAGCCTCCTCAAAAAAAAAAACCCCACATTCACTCCAAACAGAATTCTTCAGCACAGGGAGCGATAACGCTAAGTGCTGCCTGCTGCACCGCC